ATTTACAAGCATAGCGATCCAGAAGTGTGTTAAAAATCCAGTATAATATGTATCTAATCGTATTTTACAAGTGTAGGACTGAGTTGAAAATGTAAACAAAGCCGTTTGCTTTTCGTTTGTTTACATTACGGACTTTACATGGCCTTCAATACAGGTTCAATACAGGTTCAATACAGGTTCTAGGGCCTTCACTTTGGGGCACTAGGCCATTTTTTTCTTCAGTGGCGGGGCAGAGGAAGGGTATTGGTATTGAAAAATTCTTTGAATCACTTGCAGAACATACGATGAGGCAATACCTTGTCGATCCCTGCGGATTCTCATTTCATTTCCAACTTTTGAAGTATCTTCCATTTTAGGCCATCTAAAATGAGACGCATAAGCCATTAGAGAAATGCATTCGTGTAAGAGAAAAGCAAAGGAAAAAGCTTACACAAGCACATGATGAAATAAATTTTCAGGCAAGCTTAAATTCCCATCAAACCACCAATTCCTTCATGGTTGGTCCCACAAACCCCTTTTATTATATTCTTTTACTTGCTGCTTGATACTAAGTAATTTGTTTGTTTGCTTCTTCCTTCAAGACTGAGCTTCAACGATAACCTTATGCCAGTCAGTAGCGTAGCCAGCCAGACGATTTAGTCCGGGTAAGCAAACATTTTCGTGTTCATTGACTTTGAAAACAACTAATTTCTAAAGAAATGAATAATGATAATAATTTTGAATTTGCATAGCGGGACTAAATTGTCGGACTGGTTACGCCACTGATGCTAGCTACTGTGTGATTTTAACTCATTCATATATGGAAAAGCATTTTCAATGCAGCAGAAAACAAAATTTGGTTAAATTGCCAAAATTTCAATATACATAAAAAATATAGTTAGCAAAAGATATATTGAAATACGAGCCTAGGGATATTTAAAGGTCTTCATTGAAGTCAGTTGCCCGGTATTATCATACACTCTGAACGTCTACTACAACGTTCTATAAAGCCTGACAGAATAAAAATATCATATGCTGGCTCTATTCGCATCCCAGTTATTAGTGGGTACTAAGCTTGGAAGTTTGATGGATTGAATGGTATAAATTCCCAAACTAACTAGTCCTTCTAACATAATGTCCTATCTGCGCCCATTATCAGACATCAGTCATACGGTAGCAGCCTGGGGCAGAGCCGCCCTAGCAAGCTTTTAACGACGCGCTCGACTTGAGTTGCGTCTTTCTGATTCAGTTTGACCCTCAGCTGCCAGTAAAAGATATTTAGCCCACCGGACATTCTTATGATAGATATTTCCAACCGCTTTTCACTGCTGTACATTTTACGAAAATCTTGTTCCTTTCAAATAAGGCGTTCAGTTATTCTTTTCTTTCCCGCGAGCCCTCAGTCAAGCAGCTCATAAAATTGTGCAAATGTCTGCTTGGGCTAAGTGTGCCCATTTCTAAACGACGTAATGAATTTGTGCTCATCGCTTAAAAATATATGACAAACGCCGCCTGATGTCGTTCTAAAGAGGCCTTTAACCTCTTCTGTAGACATTCCTTTGGATGTATCAACCGCGTGCATTGCTTAACTATTAATTAACGAAGATGGAAACATGCAATCTATTGAAAATAGAAACTTACCTAGAGTGAGCTTCGTCACGCCGCCTAGTGGAGCCAGTTTTGCCGTCCTGATTAGATGGCAACCAAATGCTCGGAATGGACCCACTGTGGAAAAGAATTAAATAGGCTTTCGGGCCAAAAAGGCACAGTAGAATAACGCTGGCCAATAACACGACACGGTAGGAATGGATAGCTAATTGGAAGATCCGATCTGCACCTCTAATTGCAGCAACCGCGAACATAATTATAAATGAGAAGATGGTCAAACAAGATGAATACATTGCAAACGCAATGATTTTTGCTTCGTTGTATGGACCTGGAACATACCTGGTTTTGAAGGCATAGTATGTACATATAACAATCAGGATTAGATTATAGAGATGCGATAAGAGGATTTGCGTCTTCGATGTGCTGCATACAAGATGCACTTCTGTCGATGAAAAATAGACTAAATTCTCTTCTGGAAACTGGGCAATAACCAAAATAAGCAACATCAGAATTTGAATAAAGATGAACAAGAATGATAAAATAATTTGATGTAATGGACGCATGAATAATGGGCGTTTGGTAAGTCTTCGATTTTTATCAAAGATACGAAAAATGCGATTGGTTTTGACTGCGATTGATACGAACGATATTGTGATTGGGAGGCTATCAAGAAAAAACTGCGCAAGGCACTTGAAGCGTGATGGTCTTAAGATAGAGACGATTGGAAACACGAAAGATAAGAACAATCCAGTCAGTAATATATAGCACAGTTCACGCCCAGAAGCTTTGACAAGAGGATTGCTGTTGAATCTGATGAATATACACATAGTGAAAGTGACACCCAGTATTCCCAGAAATGACAACACGAGCGGAGGAACAACTAGAAACTTCGACACCCGCTTTTCAAGACTGTAGTAGATTTCCCGGATTTTTACACATCTGCCTCTTCTTGTGTCTGCCAGAAAGCCCCGTGCACATGCATGACAAGATGTTTTGTTCATAACGATGGAACCTTCTGGGCATTTTACGCATGTCCAACAACATGTCGGTTCTCCATGGATTCGTTCTGGAATCTGGTCAACCTTACACTTTTCAGAGCATTGGGCTTTGACCGATGATAAATTCAAATTTTATATTACGGTGAAATTCATATTTAGTCGACCTTGCCATTGACCGATGTTTATATACTGGAATGTACATTTTTTTTCACTAGATGTGACGTAATGAACTGTGTATCTTCCGCTTACCTCGCCTTTATTATCCATATAAACTGTACGACCATCAACACTCGTGAAACTTGAGTTACGAATAACATTGAGTAGTTCTTCGCCTGGTATTTTGCAACCTTGGACGAGATTGTTTGGGCAATTGGTTTCCAGGATCTTGTGGAGACCATGGGCAAAGATATATACGGCATCTATAACTTTATCTGCAACCCGGTACAAATTACCACAGAATAGTGCATTGCCTATTTTCTCACTTGAATTACACCTTTTCCTGATGCTGTTAACATTCGTATTTCGGAAAGTGCAATTCATAATATATTCATAGAAACTTTTGAACCATAATGAGTTGTTCATTTTCTGAACGCTCAAATTTGCTATGTATTTTTGGAAGACTTGCATTCTATTTTCAATAACGCCTATGTATATGAATTCTGTTTTTACGGCGAGAACTTCATCCAAGATCCCGGACGGCGCTATGGATTCCGAAGCAATCAACTGAAGTTTATCGAAGTTTTTTATTTCCCTTTTCATTGTTTGAACTATAGAAATTAAGCTCCCGCTAAAGCAAAACAAAATTACAACCTCACTTTTATTTGCATATGACAACTGACCAAGTCTTTTGTTATACTCATCTTCATTGTAACGAGTGGGCAATTTTATTTCCTCGGCAAAACATATCTCTAAATTAAAATAAATATAATATACGTGAATTAATACAAGCAGTACGCCCTACAGTTGCCATGAAGATTTAATTAATTAAACACAAAACAATAATAGTGACTTTGTAAATTGTTAACATTCACACTCTCTATGTTCCGACTCTTACTTTACATTCATCATCAGGAGAATACCATGTTTTTTTAAAAGCCAACTTTTGATATGCTCCTGTTCGCGAAGGCCTACTCTGGGGTGGTAACTTGTATTAACTCGCCTTAAATCGCATTAAACCGCGGGTTAAAAGTAAGCGAACTTCTCTTAGCCCTCTCTTCGCCAAGAGGAAGGCACTATAACTCGCAACAATACGTCGTTCTTCCTTTGCACATTTAAATCTATAACCTCATGATCAAGTTTGCTAGCGAATTCATGTAACCCAGGTATTTCGCAATCTAAAGTGGTGAAAATTGGATGGTTGAATAAGTTAATTAAATGATTATAACACAGCAAAAAATCATTTTCTTATTAAGAAAAAAAATTCTTAATTTAAGAAAAAAGTCTTAAAATAAGAAAATAATTTTCTTAGTAAGAAAAAATTTTCTTGAAATAAGAAATTTTTGAATCCCAATATATCTTTTTCTTATGATAAGAAAAAAATTTCTTAATAAGAAAACATTTTCTTAAAATAAGAAAATTTTTCTTATAATTTCTTAGTTATCGCGAAAGCATTTTCTTAAGAAAATACGATTTTCTTACTTTAAGAATATGTTCGTAAGACAAGAAATGAAATTCTTAAAATACAAAATTATACAATAGTAAGACATTATTACTTAAATTTTTGAAGCAAGAAAATGTAAAATGCTAGTGTTATAGGACAACTTATATCTTTACAAGACTTAGAATAACGTAGCTATATCTTATTGCGTCAGGTAAATTTGTAGTTTTTATTTCGAATTGAAGAGACTATATTACCGGCAGCTCACGGTTGATCAAACACTAAATGGCCGGCAGTACATTGACTATATAGTTAAAGTTGAATCTTCGGTATAAGATAGATAAACCTATACCCAATCCCAAACCCTTAATTCTCCGATCCTAACCCCTAACCCTAACCTTTTGAGAGTCAGCCGGCTGCCGGTAATATAGTCACTTTGTTTTTATTTCGTTTCCAAAATTTGAGTTGGTTTCAGTTTTATTGAATCGCTGAAGAGAATTTTTGTCCTCCGGAATTTTTATCCAAGCATAGATGATCCAAGCAGGAATAGTTCGCCATAGTTTGCGTATTCACTAAACGCCTGGTACCTAGTTTACCTTTTAGAACGCGGAGCATCGCGGGATAGCGTCGTTTTACATTTTTGTGAAAAATTTTATAATAATTATCGAATTCACAGCGCCTTCAAGGCAATTTAAATGGCAAATAACGATGGGAAAAGCATCATAAAGTCCTTAAAATGTTGTTCAGATACCACAGGTAAGAATAATTGTATATTTGACTTGTTATTTAAACATATTCATTGCGAAATAATGTAGTGATTATGACTGTTTACTTGAGCGAAGTGTGAAAATATTCCATTGAATGTTTGAATTTGCCGCGTTCGTTTTGCATATAAAACATGCAAATGTTGCTTTCAGGCAAGGGACGGAAGATTAAAATATAAATTCAAATCTATTGTTGTGAATTCCATACTAATTTACGCACTAATATTAACAATTTGACAATATTAAATTGCCTTTGACATTGGCACTTTGCTAGACCTTTGTCAAGACTCAAGGCTATATAGTGATATGAAATAAGATATACATACGGATGTTTTTGAAGATCTGTTAGCATTTTAATACTTGAATAAGGATTGGAATTACACTTATTACAGGAGAATGACAGCATTTAATCTGATATTTTCAGTGTATAGATAGCTGATAGCTGCATAACTGAATTGCATCCTACTCTATTGTTTACTCTGCCTAATGCCAGAGGATTTTCCTACTTGCCTTCAGTTGCCAGATAACTTGGCTACTGTAGAGAATGTTTAGTTTTCCCGACTTACTATACTTCACCCGGGAAACTCTGCAACCCTAGATAGAATGTATATGCCTTTCATTTAAAATAATAGCCGAAAAATACATACAAATCATTAGGTATGTTTACAGCTTTCCTCTATTTCTAGCAGGTTATTCTTGCATATTTTGTAATCATGTTTTTTAAACCTTTTGAATGATCCAAATTGTGTTTGTATTTTGTCATTGTGCAGCAATCATGGGGTAACTTGATTTCATATAAATAGACTGCTTTTTTGTCCTGCCTGAGTGAATAACTCACCTTGCCGGGTAACTCGCCTACTGATGTACCGATATCCATATTGGTGTATCAGTCATCTTTGAATTTGGTGAAATGACATAGAATATCGGTATCGGCAAATTATTGGTCTTTTATTATCAGAATATCAGTGAATTTCCATATATCGGTGCATCACTAATACAGTTCAAGATTGTGTTTATATGAGAAAATGCCATCCTGCTCGCCGGGACAATTTTGTTATGTTGACATTGTTTTGACAGTTGTTAAAAATAGCTTGCAGCTCGGCATCTTTGAACATTCATCATAAGCAACATTGTGGCATCAGAGCCAACCTGCTTGTGGATCCATGTAAACACATGATAATTTTTTTCTAGATAAATATACCTAATGCAGTAACATCTTGCTTACCGGGCTGTCCCGCTAAGCGGTCCAGTCCAGCTTCCATAAATACAGCTGGTTTAAAGAACCATGGACAGCAACCGGAAGTAAACTATACTGTCAGTAACTGTGTGACATGGTATTTTTTAGACAAATTATTACATTTCTTAATATTGCAGCTTTGGTGCATGACTAAGGGTTAATAGTCTACTGGGCACTTGCCACAAGAAAATGATAACTGAATCCAGGACATCTGTATCTGCCTACAGCCATGTCTCTGCTTAATAAAATTTATATAAAACATATGTAGTTTAATACTCCCTCTTTCGTCTTCTACCAATATGAACAGGTGATTGGCCGATTATAACATTAAACAATAAACCCTTTGAATTAGATAAGAATGATATTATATTATAAATAATATTAAATTAATTATATTAATGAATTATATTATAAATGAATTATATTATAAATAATAAGTCATAAAATTAATACTGGTCTATCTTTTTAACATAGACAGATTTTCATATTTTTTACTGGGGTGGTGCCAAAAATTTTAGGGGTGTGAGCCGTGAGCAGGTGACTGAAGCAACACAAAGTGTCACCATACCCCAGTAAGGTCTATATTCTAGAGGTGGAGCACTAGAGATATGAGGAGGTGTCTAGAGAGCAGAAAACAAAGTATCCCTGGAAAAATTTAAAAAAATCATGATTCCTAGCTTTGAAAAACGTTTTTTGAAGTGGTCATATCAATGGATTTGGCATGTCCGATTGTCTGATGAGACTTGGGAGAGTTGAAGTTAAATGAACCTGTAAAAGTGTAAACCTAATAGGCCAATACACAATATGCTTTTACCAGTTTTATAAAGTCATTGACATTGTGTCGTTTGAATCCGAATACATTTTATGATGCAACTCCAATGTAAATAATAATTGGGGCATAAAGATTAAATCTAGGCAAGTCTATTTTTTAAAAGAATTAAAAACTAAAAATAATGTTCATAAAAAATCCAAATGTTCCTTCCGAGCAAGCTAAGTACTGTATTTGCATGAGAAGGCACTGCAAACTCTATTTAGGGGAGATAATAGAGTTTCAAAACTTTACAATTGCTCCAATAAACCAGTGAATGCACTGTCTTTTTCTATTTGAGTGTATTGTACTCCTACGTTTATTTTATATCATCAACACTCTGTATGTTGGAGTGGACTATTTAATTATTTTTTATTATGCCAAAAGTTGGGGGTGGGGGGTGTTGAAATAGTTTTTTGGAGGGGTGGTCATTTTGTTTGGGGGAGGAGTTATAGCTAATATTTGGGGGGGGGGTGTCACCCCCCACACACACACACAAAATCCGTCTATGCTTTTTAATCTAAAGAGTTAACTTAGGTAACTGAGGAGTGACTCAGATTAGCAAGCAAGTCTCCAGGTCTATTGTTCTTGCAATTTTGTATATATTATAGCTATTTCAATTAAGGTTGTCCCCAAGCAAAGCAGAAAAGTGGAATACAAGCGTAAATTAAATAATATAATATAAATTCATTTATATTTCTGTATACATCACATATAATACTTAGAGTGATGATTACATTCTCAATATGTAAGTAAACTTTTCCTTTTACAGATTACTAGCTGTATAAGGATGTATATATGATGGATCTCCAGTGGCATTTGCATGATGTGTTTGGAACAGTGTTTAATGTGCATTATAAAGAAATCTATGGACTTTGAACAAACGGTTTGTCAGATAATATTGCTTGTCATGTGGAAAGAGTTGAAAAATTACTGCTTCAGGTCTTCAGGAGAACTTAAATTTGCTACAACACATTGCTGTGCAATCAGAACTACACCTAGTTGTATAACAGTGGCTGAAAAAAGAACTTGTATAAATTGACTATAATTTGATGTTTTGTATGTTACTGAGTGTATTTCCACACCGGGCAGGCTGAAAAGTTAGCCTGACCATCGTGGGAATCGAACCCGCAACCTTTGGGATACTAGTCCAATGCTCTGCTAACTGCATATACACTCAGAGTAACATCAAAAACAATATTCACCTGAGTACCTGTACATATAAACACCCAAACAACACATTCTTAATAAGAAAATTATTTTTAAGAAAAAATTTCTTGATTTGAGAAATTATTTTCTTAAAATAAGAAATTATTTTCTTATTTTAAGAAAATTTTCTTATTTCAAGAATTTTTTTCTTGGGAGAATAACAAGAAAATTTTCTTAATAAGAAAATTCTTTTTAAGAAAAATTTCTTGATTTGAGAAATTATTTTCTTAAAATAAGAAATTATTTTCTTATTTTAAGAAAATTTTCTTATTTCAAGAATTTTTTTCTTGGGAGAATAACAAGAAAATTTTCTTAATAAGAAAATTCTTTTTAAGAAAAATTTCTTGTTTTAAGAAATTATTTTCTTAAAATAAGAAATTATTTTCTTATTTTAAGAAAATTTTCTTGTTATTCTCCCAAGAAAAAAGTTTTCTTGAAATAAGAAACTTTTCTTAAAATAAGAAAATAATTTCTCAATTTAAGAATTTTTTCTCAAGAAAATTTTCTTAATAAGAAAAATTTTCTTAAGAAAATTTTCTTATTAAGAAAATTTTCTTGTTATTCTCCCAAGAAAATATTTTCTTATTTCAAGAAAATTTTCTTAAAACAAGTTGTTTTTTTCTTAAAATAAGAAAATGATTTTTTGCTGTATACTTGCATGCTTATGACGGTACATGGTACATGCAATGGGGAGAACGGGTAGGAGATGGAGTTAGCGCGTTTCTCCTTAACGCTGAGTTAAGTACGTCTGATTCATGTAGGTCGAGGGTAGAGTTTGATGGGTGACTACCCTACTCTTACTAGACGTGCTTGAAAACTCATGCCATTACAGTCATGGTTGCCTTTCTCTTGTGCTTCGAGGGTTTTACTCCCTCACCAAACTAACCCTTCCACCTTATCTGTGCTTGATGGTCAGACATGGGTCGAATTACAACCATTCCTCGTGTTGCATGTTGCAATGTTAATGTACATTGACCAAGTGAACCTCGTCATCCACCCCCTTGGATGGAGTTCAATGTTATAAACAGCGTCGAAACAACTTTTGGTAATTTAGTGTATGTACTATGACACAAGTTCAACATTGAGTTGGAGGGAGTGAGGGCTTAAGCGCAACATTATTTTACCCCCCACCATACTGTATATCTCACCCCCCATATATATACATACCGTTTTATTTTGCTTTACCTGACAAGCTGGAAGATTCCTCTTCATGTTCTTCTGATTTCCCTTCTGATTTCTCTTCCAGTCTTTCTGAATCTTCAACACTTTTACTTATATCCTAAACAAATATATTTCCCTCAAATACATGATTATGGTTGTAAAACAAATGAATGTATCATCCAAGTCATTCATTCACGTTGCACAACCCTGACTAAAGTTGAAATTAAACTAATTGCTATACCTGTGTTTCGATGAATGGCCAAGTTCTTTTATTGCGCCTATGTCTAAAACAGATAAATTCGTGCATTATTTGCCATAATAGAACAAACTACAAAATGATGACGTAAAATTTGCTTCCGACGTTTTAAGCGCAGAGCTATACAAGATGTATAAAAAAGGTAATACAACTTTGGCAAAAAATCGCGCAGATAATCAGTTGACATGATCATGCAGCATTTCGTTTTTCTGATATTTTCATTCGCGTTCATTTAGTTGAAGAAAAGATCGGCGGAGTAAACTATACGGAGCAATTTCTCAATTTTACTGTGAATATATTTTACATTACATGACTCTGTGCCAGAAGTTGCGTTGTAAAGTTGCAGCAAACTTTTATACTCGTGTAACATGGCCTTTAAAACACAATGCAAATTTCTTAACCTATTTGATCCAACTCTTGCAGCAGTTCTCCATGGAATGCCATGTCCTCTGGTAGCCTTGGACGACAATGTCGATCTTTTTACTCTACAAACATAAAATATAAATTCAAATATATGTATTTGTTCAATTACAGTGTTCGAAAAGAAGCGTTAATTAGAGAGAGATGCATTTATTATGTACGGTCAGGGCTGCCGAAAGGTTGCGCGCGGCAAGGAGCAAAACGTCCCCAGGGCCCCTATGGTGTCATAATTATAAAACAGAAACCTGAGTATCAGGCCCTGTTTTCCCTTCCTTAATTAATGTGGGTGGATGGAAGGCAAAAGAAGGCCTGACACAAATCCCTGTCTGAGCGCATGTAAAAAAGTAAAAATCTGGCTTTTCACCTGATTGGTCTATCAGATTAATTTAAAAAAAAATAATTTTGATTCGTTAGTGCTAATTAGATTATAATATTATTAACAGTTTTAACTATAGTTAGATTGTTGTTGTTCAGTTATGTGAAATTGACAGAATATAAACTTTGCAGTGGGTGGAGAGCGACCCCTTTTGAGCTGGGGCCCCGAGACAAAATCCCCTGCCCACCCCCTTTCGGCGACACTATGTACACAGTATAGAGACGCATGTTAATTTCAAAGTTGATATTGTAACCTCAAATATTCGGACAATGTAAAGTAAATGTAGTATACTTGCTGTGCTAACTTGGAACGGCGCGTCAGAATGTTTGAACGAAGCGTTTTAGCTTCACTCAAGGCATGTTTTACCAGGCTTATCAAGGCAAAACCTCTCTCCTTTTCTTTAACCTACATTTAAACTACAGTATCTCATAATATTACAATAAAACAACTTATAATTATCGATATCGATTTTAGAAATATGCTCAAGTGCATGCTAGACTTACTTCGACACTCCAGTTTTGGTTACTCCAGTTCTTGATCTTCTCCTTTTTGTCTTCTTCAATTTACTTGGAGGAGGACTTGTTCCTTGAATACAGAGCCAAGGATACTGGATACAGAGAGACAAAGAATTAAAAAACAAATTATTTACCTGATTTACCACAGTTTTCTATTTTTTATGCCAAAATATATATAACGACTGCCAAGTACAGTATTCAGAAAACGTATTTTAATAAAATACACTGATGCGTACCTCAGTTTCTCCTGGACCAGCGTTCGCAAGAACATGTTGGGCAATTGAGGTAACCAAATCCCTTTCTGTTGAAGTAAAATATGGAACATATATTAACCCTTTCATGCACGTTGTTGCTCTGCAACAACAAAACAGGTATGCAGCCGAGTATACATGTAAAACAAAATATATTGTACACCAATCGCATAATGCATATTTTGTGTCATTTTGTACATTTTAAACCAGTTCAGGTAACCTTTTCAAAACTCATTTTTAAGAACAATTTACTAACTTTTAACAAATATTTTGAACCACAAATCATTAGAAATGGTCGCTACTACCATTGGGACATATATTTATATTTCCTCTTTCTTGTGTTTCTTAAGAAAAATGGGCTCCCCCGTACTCGCGAGACCTGTCAGGTGGCTTTGCCTCCGGGATGATTCGTTTAATTAATAAAACTCTTATCACGGCTTTGATAAAGTAACAGTATAAAGTTCATTCAAACGATCTTTTACGCCGTTACGGTCAGGAAAAACATTTCGTGGCACGATGCAGCCTGGCTCATGTGAACAGCCCCTAATACTCAGATAGCTAAATCTAGCGAGAAGAGTTCTAACTTCCAGTCAATTTACTATTAGCACCACATGGTTTTTCTCCTGCATGGTACTCTGGTTTCCTCCTATTTTAACACTGAAATAAAATAAGGTAGCCTTCACTGGACCTTTAGGGAGAACAGTTTAGACAAAATTGATACACCTATATCCAGTATAAATTATAAGGTAGTTCAGAGACGGATTTTCACATTTTCGTTCGGGGGGGGATAAATATCTGGGGG